TTACTCCTGTGAGTTTCATGACAACAGGCCTAACGGTTTTCCTTAAAATGTGTTTACAGGGTTGTATATATGCTGAAAAGTGAAAAAACAGCATAACTTCTACTATAATGGCCCGATCATGCTGATTTTCGAACTTGACCTGCGTTTTATGAATATTCATCAGCTCTGTAAATATAAAAGCAAAAAATAAAACTGTGTTCCACTTATCGTGTTTACAAGGAAAGTGCACGGCATCGGCATCGCCATCGCCATCGGCATCGCCATCGGCGACGACGGCGACGACAGACGCAGGTGATGGCAATATGTACAGACACATCTGTGTCTGTACATAATAACACATTTTTAATATATAACTGCTGTACCTGTATATAAAAATCTTTCAAATTGGAAATACAGTGCAAATGTCACAAACCCAACATGTACATTAAACTTGAGTTAATATTTGTATCAAAATGCAATATTTAGAAAATGGTGACAAATGTAGAGAAATAAAGCATAAAATACAGAAGATGGTACACAAAGAAAATAATTGTATGAAGATACACACAACCTTAGAGGCCTCTCATGCCCAGACACACTACACTGGGTATCTGGTGCTGATAACCAATAAGCAAAGTATAACTTTTAGTATACGGGACTATCATGACCTCTCAATCAAGTCTCACTGATATACATTTTAAGGGCACCCATTTTATGTCACAATTTTAAAATGCAGTGTCAGCTTTTCGAGGTCCCTTGTGTGCACTTCAGGGTTAACCACAGATCAAGTTCTTCCATGCCTAAACACAAAACACTAAACATTTGTCTAAACACAAAACATACATGTTGGCTTTATCTATTTCTCATAATAGAAGCACACCCATTATGTTCATGCAGAATTGTATGCACATGTTTTGCACATGAGCTAAGGCACAACAATGTACATAACCAGAAGTCTTTTAATCAATGTCATGGCAACTCATAATAACATGATATCGTTACAGTTACTAATTGAAGCATGGCATCACAATGCATCAATTTGACAAAAGGAATTGTTTTTGCATAAATATATAGTATGTTTGTCTACTTTCTAAGTGGAGTAGATTTACAAAATGCTTTCATTTGATATGACAAAGTGCCTGGTCCATTATTTTACAAAGTGCATTTGAGCAACAGTATTATCCAATCTTTACATTAATTTCTGAGTACATTTAAAACAAAATTAAACCTTTGGAGATCATCAGTACAGTTTTGTTAAATGGATAACAACTCTTCACATGAGATTTGAAATTCCCCATTAAATATATTGTAAACAACAAAGAAATATAATAAATTTCATTTTACCACCAAAATGGTGATTAGCACAATTCTCAAATCTGAGCTTGCCATCGGACCATGTGGACCTTCTAGATGGTTACCCTCCCTAATAATCTCTAAAGAGATTATTACAAATACCACACAACTGTCGTTAATCATGGGACAATCCCTTTTATGGCACTTTTCTCTGACAAAATAAAGTTGTTACCCTCCCCCCCTTTAAATCATCCTTTTCATGAACCCCTATTTTCATACACTAACAGATAAATGGAAAATGCTCTACCATATTATGTAGGAAATCATGTATACAATTTTTACATCTTGGTTTTAAATATAAATATATTGCACTTCTTACTTAATGTTTGCAAAAAGCCTTAAAAAGAATAAAAAAATTGGGGGGAAAAGTAGATAGTTTAAATATTCAGCTGCATACATAGCAGTCTTTGTGGTAAATCTGGATCTTTCACGTCTCTCTCCATTTTTGTACAGAATGCCGCTCTCACTAACACCATATTGTAACACGTCTGAGGAAAACCTGTCACACAGTGACAATATTGTTTTTATGTGCTGCTTTTCACTTATCAGTAAGTAGGTGGGATATAGCCGCCTGGTGCTGGTGGAGCATAGGCTGAAACAAATTCACATATTTAGATGTACAAGAGTAGTGAAAAGGAAAGCTGAATATAAAATTTAAGTGAGAAAAACTGGAAAAATGCATTTCATTGTTGATTGCTATCTATTGCACCACCTGTGTGGGGCAATGAAAAAAATAAGTTCATTTCAATGCAAGCCAACTGTTAATACATTTTTTCAAAGCAATGTGCTCTGAAATGAAAGAGAATTCTCTGAATGTTTGACAAGCCACTTACGAGGCGGTTGCTGAGCATATCCCTGACCCTGACCATATGCCATTTGTTGCTGAGGAGGATAATATGGCTGCTGTACCGGTTGGGGTGGGTAATATTGCTGTTGTCCTGGTTGAGGTGGAAAGTATGGCTGCTGTCCTGGTGGTGGTGGGCCTGCAAATTATAAGACTTGAGGGTACTGACAAGGTTAGACAAAAACTTCTTGATTATGATGATGACAAGTAAAAGTCTTTGAGTACATTTTGGATAATAGATGAATATTCAGTGTTCACTGACTAAATTCCTTTGCATTAACATAAATGTCATTTTACTATTGATGTCAAAATTGTGATTTTTAGGGTAAAAATTGCAAAATTTGGTTTGTCAAACTTCTTCTTTACCTGAACACCCCCACAAACATCGTTTCAACATCAATTTAATGTTACCGCTGAGTACTTCAAATCCCTGCCAGTGATTTTTCTTAAAAGCCTTAGTTCAGAATTAATGGTTGATATGGCAAAATAATACCTTTGTTCATCACTACATTGTAATTAGGGGCTCATAGTGAAAAGATCTTTTTCAGGGATGGACAGGAGTTATGCCCCATACCATTTGCTATCTCACCTCGAAGTAACACAAGAGAATTGCCAAAACGTTCACTTACTTTGATATGTGACAACAGTTTTGTCCATTTGTCGCTGCCTTCTCTTTCTTAAACAATATACCAGAACAATCACGCCAATTATTATTAATACTATTGCTCCAACAGCACTCAGTAAACCTTTCATTAAACCCATGTTTTGTGGTTTTTCTCGTTTCTGAAAAACAAAAGACATTATAGTAAATAAAAATCATTTATTCCACTCGTATTTGGCTCACATGTTCACCTGTATTTTAAAAAGCTTTGGCGCCTTCATCCTATGGTTTGAAGCGCCAGCCGTGGGATAAATCAGTTAACTATTTGTTGTCCACTGTATGTGACATACAAGTCATTTATATGTCAACTGCACCTTGATTTAATTATGCTCTTGTACCTCACATACACCGGACGACTCGTGTTGAAAATAGTATTAAATATGCAGATTAAATATATATATATATGTTATTATGAACTGATAGGATATGATATGCTCTTGTGATATGATATAGTGTGCTAATAACATCTGCTATAACTTTAGTTTTTATGCTCTTCAATTATGTTGTCTTCTTACTTTCAAATTAATGAGTCTCTTAAGAAAGTAGTAAAAAAAACAGGCATGTTTTGAAGTAAGTCAATTATCTCACCAAGGGTCTTCTAAGTTCTATTTACACAAAAGAGAGATGCTAAACATTGAAAATACAGAGCTGAAAATAAAGTCAAAATGACGAGGACTGGACTATGGAAAATTCCAATATTATTCAGGATATTTCAGGATTCTTGATATAAAGGGAATATGCAGCTGATTATCATCCATGTTTATGTGAAGTCAATTCCACAGATGCATGTGATTTCACCAAGGGCTAACTGTTAAGATACATCATGGAAAAAATCGTCATTATGTCCAAGGATGTTAACTGGAGAGGACCTAGTACACTTCCTTGTGAAACACCATGTACTACTAGGTCTGAAAGACCAGACAAAATTACTTCAAATGACTGCCATTCAGTTAGAAAGGAAGAAGATCAAAGGCTTTTCCTTTGATCCCGATATTCTCCTATAGGAAAGTGAGAAACAATTGATGGTGACAAGTAAATGGGACAATTAGAACGATCTAAGAACCGTTGGAATAATATCTGAACATGTAACACGGTTATCTGAATAATTGAAAGTTGTAACTTACAGTCTGTGTAAACTTATGTTCTGACAAAATGGTTCCTTTTGCTGACTTAAAAGTTACATGCGCATGCGTTATGACTCACTTATTTGCCACTGCTTATTAAGTTATTTACGTTGTTGACGCTCTGGCTCAACAGACGCAGTATTTCACAACACCTCGCAGAATAAAGGTTTGCTCAGCTACTACAATCTCCAGGCACTGCAACAGCACCGTGTGCCAAAATAGCACCTGTGATGCTTCAGCAGTAGCTCCGGAGGCAGTGCCCTTGTTCTGAAGTTAAATTATTTTTTTTTACTGATGACTCATTCATTTGGTGTCCGCTCTTAATAAGGGACGAGAACTAATTGTTTTTGTAACTATAACTATTTATTATTGTCACGAAAAAGACAAAATTTGAACTGTTAAAAACTATTTTTTAATTCATAACAGATCAGTCTAGATCCCCACAACTCTAGCTAGGTAACACGCCTTGGATGTTATGCAAACTGGCAAAGCCCCCCCCCCCCCCCCCCCCCCCCAAAAAA